AGCTAATATAACTAAAGCCTGGACTCTGCACTTAAATTAAATTGATGGAATAATAAAAAGGGCTTATAATTGTGAAATATTTTTATCTAAAATGTTTGTGGAATAAATAAATAAATTTACAAAAGAAAAAAAAACACCCATCCACTCTTTTCCCTGTGGTTAGCATGTAAATATAGAGTAAAAGCAGCTCATTCAGGGTCTGAAGTGCAGTGACTGAAGGAACTTCTCTCACTAAATAAACCTAATTTATTTATACTCTTAACTCCACTCAAGYGTATTTCTTATTTCAAATAAAAAACTAAGGTTTTAACAACTGTAATCTGTTGCTGCAAACACAAAGGATGGTGTAAAATCATGTGAGAGGATTATTTTCTGAGCGTTTCAACTTCACGTTTCATGGTTGAAAATAGAGTCTGTGTGGGAGGACCTCTTTTGTTTTATGTTTGCATAATTTTGCATGCCTATGTGTATACAGTGGACTTTTTTTTTTTTGTTGTTTTTTAATGGGGACAGTACCATGCGGGCCAGCCTCTCTCTGAGGCGAGTGTTTTCTTCCTGCAGGTCCAGACCGGAGCTGTGGTCCACCACCGTCCTTCCTGCTGACGACTGCAGTGAGGAGAAGAAATAACTGATGCTGTTGTTCTGGTTATTCTATTTGCACATTGCTTTCAGACACTTGAAGTGCTCTTTTGATCTTAAAAAAACCTGTTTAGAGTCATTTGTTTTCTATAGAAACCAGACGATGCTTCACCTCCTTCGCCTTCTCAAGCGCCTTTTCCAGCTCGGCCTTGTCTTTCTTCAGTTGCTCCTTCAGCTCGTTAATCTCCGACTGAAGCTGGGCCTCCTTCTCTCCGCTCGCCCTCTTCAGGGCTTCGAGTAACCCGCTCTTCTCGTCGGCCACGCCCCTTTGTTTGTCCAGATCTGTGCGGGTTCGCTTCAGGTCGTCCTGGTAACGCCGAAGCTCCTTGGGACAGGCAATCAGAGGCGAGTGAGATCAACTCGTGCGAACGAGACGAATGTGCCAAAGTGCATAATAATGTGTTCACGAGGTTTTTTTACGTCCCATTTTCCTGCGGACAAAAACAAACTAAACAGGAAGGACATTAAATTCCCGCTGAGGCAGGTTAGCAAAAGCTCACACTTTACAACAAAAGGAGGCGAAGRCCTTGAAATTCACCCACCGGTTGAGAATAATTGTTCCGCTTCATGACGGCAGGGTGAATTACCTCTTTTAGAGGAAGGCTATCATCAGACGCTGCCTTTTCTTTCTTTGAATTCTGAAGCTCCTTCAGCGAGCGCTCCGCTCTCTCCTTCTCCGAGAGAGACTGCTTTAGCCTGAAGTAAGAAATAAATCCTAATTAGRCCCAGATGAAGAGAAAACTGTGTACAGCGAGGCCATGAGAAGCATATAGATTTGACTTTAACCAATCAGCCACAACATTAAAACCACTGGGGGACGCATGCAGTTTGAGCAGAAACTGAATTCCTTGAAGGAACCTTATCGACCGCTGCCTTTCACATCACGATGCAATATCAAGAGTTCTCACTAAATCTGTTAGCTACTACTACGTCAAATATTATGCAGATTAGCTGTGGCCATCCTTAATTGGGCTGATCCAAAAAGTTAATTAATTAATTCATTCATTCATTAAATCATTAATGTTTTGAGAATTCTAATGAAACCTATGCAGTTGTGAGATATTTTGCTAACAGACAGACACGGTTAATGGTGATCAGTGTGTAGTACTCTGGTACCACTACACTAAATATTAGCTCAGTTTTTGTAAATTTGTCTGACCGATAACTATTGTGTGTTTGCTGATACGACTGGCTRTGGCGGCCATCTTGAATSTGGTTGACTCTGTGAATAATAGAAAAACTGTGCTGCCTAAAATTAATTACTATAATTAAGAAAAAAGCATGCCCTAGTAAATAACCATATGCTAATTTAAATAATTTCATTTGTTAAACCTGGGTCCAATTAAGATACATTTTGATCAGAGTTGTAAAGTAACTAAGTACAAATACTTTGTTACTGTACTTAAGTAGAAATTTTGGTTATCTGTTACTTGAGTCAAATTTTTTTTCAACCAACTTTTTACTTCTATGCCTTATATTTTTACACAATTATCTGTACTTTCTACTCCCTACATTTTTTAAAAAGGTAAGAAGTAGATAGTTATAACTCCCATTTCCTTCTGGCTTGTTAATGTTAAAAAAAATCTATCCCGATAAACTTTGCCTTTGAATTTAATTGTGGTTGGATGAGAAGTATAAATATATACCATTCTGACATGTATTAGTTTGTACACAATCCATCACAGCTGCACGCCTTTAAAAAAATGTATTTGGAAAATCKAACCTCTCATTTTTACTCAATACTTTTATCTTTAATACATTTTATGTCAGAAATTTACTTTTGATACTTAAGTACAAAATAAATCAGATACTTTAAGACTTTTATTCATCTTAGAAGAGACTTTAACTTTTACCAAAGTAATTTTATGATAAGATACTTGTACTTTTACTCAAGTATCACTTTGTGGTACTTTATACAACACTGATTTTGATCYAGATCTGGACCTCTGCCCACCACTTGGGAACCCTATATCTGTTGATGCAGTGATGATTTTAATGTTGTGGCTACTTTACTAAATCAACTCTAAACCACATTCAAAACTCATCTTTTATTCAAAACACAAACACTCTGTCTGGAGGACTTTATCAGAAAATAAAATGTTTTCAAAATCATTAAATCACGAAAAACAGATAAACAAAAATAGGTAAAATGATTGGTCATAAGCAACATTAATTTGAACATTTAAATGCAGATTTCTTTATAAAAACAGAACAGGTGGGTTTTATTATGACTAGGTTGTTGTTAGTGAGGGGCTCACTGGTCTAATGATCACAGCAGACTTTAGATTTAAAATCCTCTCCTCAGGTGGTTTTTCAGGGAAAAGATCTGATTAAAGTTGGCTAAATACAGTGTACACGAATCAAAACATCAAAACAGACTAGGACTGATTGTTTTTTCCTCACGTTCGGCTGCTGAAGCGTTCTTCGTTCCTGCCAAATGAAAAATCAGGTGTTCAAATAAAAAGAACTCCTGAAGAAAATTACAGGTTCTCATGAATTATATTCAGCTTATTGTACTGATTCTGGCTCATTTATACTCTTAAATATTAATTAATGTGGACCTCCCTTTTAAATTAAAATTAAGTGTTAAGACTGATGAGTTTAACTGGTTTTTGTTGCAATATTGATTGAAAAGTCCTAAAATAAAAAGGAGAATCTGGTTTATTATTAGGAAAATTTTAAATATACTGATACTTCCATCATGTTGACTAAGCAGAAAAACACTTTGTTGCTGWTAAAGATAAACTGCGAGTAATTATTTCAGCAGTATTCACAGAGACTCACTCCTCCCTGGTCGTCTCCAGATCCGTCCTCCACTGGTCCCCCTGGTCTCTGCAGGTCTCCAGCTCCGCCTCAAGCGTCAGCAGAGAGTCGTTTACCTTTTTCCGCTCCTCCTCTATCAGCTCCTGGGACTGAAGACACGAAAAAAAAAAAATAAATTAAAAAAAACTTACCAGAGAACTGGTATTAAACTATTCAAACAGTTTTCCCCCCATTTTTTTTTTTGCACATTTTAGTTAATGTTTAGCTTGTATTATCTTTTAGCTATTGTTTTGCTGCCTTCAAATTCACATTAAGCTAGCCTATATACAATTTGCTCAGGACAGAAATGAAAATCAGCTGTTGAGCTAATTCTGGTGCATTTATATTCATAGAATACTGATTAATGCGCATTGTCCTTTTAAATAAATGAATTAAATTTAGCTTTTCAACTTGTGCTACTTTTAATATTTTGCTAATTCTAGGTTTTAGCCAATGTTTTACCAGCATTTTCTTCTTTTATCTTTTAGCCATCGCTCTGCTTCTCTTAGCATRATAACTCAGTTTCATTACATTTTCATTGATATTCATTTTTTTAGTGTCAGATCTGTGAATCAATCCAGTTTTCTTTGAAATGGTTCTTTTTTAAAAACTAGAGAGCAGGAAAAACAGCTTAGAGTCTGATCAGAGGAACACGTCGACGTGAGAAACAACACAAACTATCAGCTCAACGCGATGCTGTCATTACAAACTGAAATCCAACTACTTTTATCTTCCTTCTGCCAAAGAAATCATCTCATTTAAAGCAGYTGAGAGTCTGCTTACTGACTTCCTGCTCTCAGGCTGAAACTTTTCTTTTTAATACAGAATCTTTTCTGCTCTCTGGTTGCTTTTTTGACACTTCTGTAGCATTTCTACACCCTGCATAAAGATCTATTCCTGTATATACTTTAAAATTTCACCATGCAGTGCTCCGAAAATACCCCACCGGTAAAAGGTGAAACTTTACAAAAGATATTCAACTAGGAAAGTTTTTTTTTTTTGCAATCAGAACCAGCAAAGTTTTCTTTTCTGTCTCTGCTCTGACCTTGTGGTATATTTAAACTCGTAGTTCGAATGCAGACTGYGTTCTGAAACATGAAAGAGAATGACAAGACGAGGCCTGGATGTCAAACACACAGATGCAACATCAAAGTCTGGGTTAATATCACCTTAATAAGTCATGGAGGCCCAAAACTGACAGGTTTAAGAACCTGACAGCTCTCCTGCTGCACCCATACACAYGATTTATATCTGAACCCCGCACCAACCAACCCCCCCATGATCCCTTCAGAGACCAAATCTGTAAAATATTCATTATGATCTCAGCATTGTAGCMTTTTTAAAAGACAATTTACTATTTTTAACCCAAACAAAAGAAAGAATTTCTGACCACCGAGCATAAGTAAAAGATGGTGAACATTTTCTTTTCCTATTCAGTCTAAATTTATGATCTTAATGAGCTGTTTGACACTCCGAAGCACAAAAAAGTGTAACTTTGCTGCAAAATAAAATATAACTTTCCGAAAAGAAAAATAAGACCAAGAATAAAAATGTTTTTTGTAATGGATCATGCTGCTGCAGGTAGTCGATCATCACGATCGCAGTGATCCTAACCATTTAAACTTAAARG